TATTACATGTCACGATTACATAGTCTACACACTATACCCGAGAGACCTCTTTTGGGTAGTGGTGTATAACTGTGTGAAACATGAAGTTGCTACAGTGGAGTCTGAACACCCTGAGGAAGGTGTATATACACTACCTATCACAATAACGGTCAAGTATATGACTGTTTTCAACTTAGATTATCATAAAAAGGTTTGCATCATCAAAAATGAATTAATTCATCTCAAAGTTTCCTTCACATCCCAGTGTTGCTGTGGAGAATTGTGCAGTGGTTTAAGACTATTGCAGCACAGGGTAGCAATTTCACAGTTTTGTTTGTTAATGCTTCATGAGATGCCACTTACCTCAGTAACCTCGTCAGGTTGGTGTGGATTGGCTTTGCTGTCCAGTAGATGCCGCATACAGTTGATATGACCCCACTTACTGGCATAGTGAAGTGGTGCCTAAACCCGCCACTGACACCAGTGAATGTTTAGGAAGTAGCCAACAAAGAACATGGCTCACTATGAGAGCTGATTGAACGCATTGAATGCCACATGTTCATCTGTGGAGGATACATTGATGTGAAACAGAGCAAATGGCAGCTTTGAGCCTGTTGATTCCAGAAGACTCTTAAAGTCATCACCAAAATGTGCTCTTCGACCAATCACATTCATAACACAAGCAACATGTCACTCCGAGTTATGGCATAATTATAGTGATTCTTCACATAACTGTTTTTGATGAAAGGGAGAGGGGTGTAATCGGGATCTGTTGTGACTTGTTTTTTGGAATAACCATTAAGCAATAAGCATTAAGCATTGAATACTTTTCCAGCAGTTTTCCAACATAGTCTAAGATATATTTATACAGTAATGTGCTCGGGAGAATGAAGTCGAAGACACCACTGCAGCTGCACTTATGGTTGATAAATATGGTGGTAAAGACACGCCTGGCAATATGGCGGTAAACACACGCCTGCCCACACACGCTCTCTAGGCTGCAAAGTTCTGGCACACAGCTCTCCTTCTCACCATCACCACCATCAGTTCGCGCTTGCGCCTGGTCGATGCATGGCTGGCGGTATCCGGCACAGCAGGCTGGTACATCAAGTAGCGCATATTTATCAACCATAAGTACAGCTGCAGTGGTGTCTTCGACTTCATTCTCCCGAGTCAAGCTCCGTATGAAGACATCCAAGAAGAAGATTGCCTGATGAGTCCAGCAGGAACGAAACGTACGTCGCAATCGAGCTATGTCGTTGCTGTGTCATCATCTATGTGCCATGCGCTACTTGATGTACCAGCCTGCTATGCCGGATACCGCCAGCCATGCATCGACCAGGCGCCAGGCGCGAACTGATTGTGGTGGTGGTGAGAAGGAGAGCTCTGTGCCAGAACTTTGCAGCCTAGAGAGCGTGTGTGGGCAGGCGTGTGTTTAGTAGTTACCGCCATATTGCCAGTAATGTGCTCAATGGCACTACTATCCAGAATGCTGCTGACGACTCTAGAGGGTCTGGACTGTGTGATTTGCTCCTCTAACTCTGCGACCCTCTAGCGACGACAGCAGCATCCTGAATAGTAGTGCCATCACGAGGAAGCCAGCCATCATGATGCCTAAGTTTGATAGTAAGCAAACGGTAGAGTCCTACCTTGAGTTATTCGAGGACGTAGCGGCACAGAACGAGTTCAGTGAAGACGAATACCTGATCAGATTGCGCGTTGCTGTTGCTAGCAGCAAGCTAGAGAGCGCATGCCACGGGTGCAACACGTTTGCGGACGCCAAGCGCGAGCTGCTAATTGCAGATGGAAAGACCGCCGACAAGGCCTGCCAGGCATCGGTGTCCATGGTGCAAAAGAGCGATGAGAGTGTTTACCTGGGCTTCTATCCAGTTCTTCTTCTCTCTTGCTTCAACATAGTCATGTAATTTCTTTCGTCTCCTTTTCTATCTTGCATATCCTATGTAATCGTTCAAGCCATGTAAATTAATACTGGTCGGTCTCAGTTCCTGGAACCTTTGAGTGTAAGATACACAACAATATTGGACAAACAAGTAGCCATGTTCTTTGTTTGTTAGTTGCTGAACATTCACTTGTGTTATAGTGGGGAAAGGCACCACTTCACGTTGTCAGTGGCCAGCATTGTATCGACTGTATCCAGCATCTACTGGACAGCAGTATAGAGTCTATGTCATGTACAGACAGTATTATGGGCACACAAGTACATGTGACTGAGAACTTCTCAGTCTGATTTGTAAAATATACTGCAGTAATCACACCATCAGAGTGATATACCAGTTTTCCCCTGAATTATGCAAGTCAGAAGGAGTTTTCTTTTGTTTATCACTGCTGGTACCTATTGCTGTACTACAGGATAAACGGACGCCACTTCACAATGCCACTTTTGGGAACAAGACCGACTTCGTTCTGCATCTCAGGGCATAGATTAACGGCCGGACATCGGATATTTTCCGGCCATTTTCGGCCACTGACCGGACGTTTTCAATTTCACCGGACAAAGTATCCTGTCAAAAAAGGAAAAAAAAGGAGCAGCGACCTTTCGACCTTTTTTTTTGTTGGGCTTTCTTCGGAGCTTCGTGCCAAATGCGACTTGCATATCGTACAACTAACACGTCTACACCGTAGCCTCAGGCGTAGACTTCACCATAATTATAATTTACTTGATCCGCCTGTAGCAACGCGGTTGCTACAGTCAATTCACACTTTCAACCTTTGGTACATGGTGTCGACTTCGCACTTGAATCGATGGGTTGAACTGCAGTGCAGTTGTTCGCTCTTGAGAGGAAGATGTCATCTTTTATTTTTCACTCTTTCACTGACCAGGAATGCAGATAGTCTTTTAGAATGTCTTCTGGAAAGCGAAAGGGAGATTCAGAGGACTTGCCGCCGGGCAAAAAAGTCCGTGGTGTGAAGGCCGCTACTTGCGATAAGTGGATCTCGGACAATGATGCAGAGCTAGCTGACTACTTCTGCCTGGCTGATTTATGACCGGCAGAAGAACGATCGGCTGTTAACAGAATGTTTGAAGTGTTCCGTGTGCATCAAGTTTGTAGACAGAGTCCGCAGTTGTAAAAACTTCAGCGAGGCTTTCATAACCGGATCCAAGAACCTGAGAACATCAGCGTTCAAGGATAATGCTGGAAAGGAGATGCATAAACGAGCAATGAATCTTTTCCGCAGGCAAGAGTGTCCCGCTCGAAATGCCCTCGAATTCGGTCCAATTGCGAAGGCACTGTGCGAGATGGACGATGGTGCTGCCGCTATTGCACGACGCAAATTCGAACTGACTTACCTTCTCTGCAACGAGCATATCGCGTTCGCAAAATTCTTGACTGCAACGCTTTCTTGTACATACATTTGTCGTCAGTAAATAGTTCAGTTTCTAATACAAATAAATTGGCGAATTGTACATAGTAATGTGTGAGATACGTCCACATAATGAGTCACTAGACACCCTTAGCAAACAACGGTAACGCTATTTTTTACGGTACTCGTACCTTGATCACCCAAATAGCGTTGAAGCTGCAGCGTATAAACGTTATGGGGGCTGATTTATCGTTGTGACCAACGGTACGTGTTTTAGCCAAATATTGCATAGTCCGTACGCATTTCACCTTGTATCGCGTATATGATGAAAAAATGGTTGTACCGCGCGAAATCAAAGCTATTCTCGTGGCAACAGCGTACTAAAAATAGCGTGCATCTTGCTAAAGGTCGAACCCAAATCACGGTATTTTCCCCCTTACGATAATACCGTTACAACATAACGTTGTTTGCTAAGGGTGTCTATTGTGAATACACTTCAGTACTACTAAAAAAAAGGAAGAAACATCCTGAAAATGTGTTGTGGAAAATGTCCGGGCATGTCCGGACAGATTTCAAAACGGAAGGACATTTGTCCGAGCTAAATGAAATCCTTAAGCTATGCCCTGCATCTACTGCAAGCTGGAGCTAACCCAGATCAAGGAGATAAGGCAGGTTATGGAACAGCCATTTCAATATACTCTGCTAATGCATGAAGTTGGTTGCTCCAACGAGGAGCACACGCTTCTTGCCGAACTTGACACTTGACTGACTCACGACTGCCATCCGGAGCACACGAGGAGCACGTCGAACCTTCCGCTATACTGGCTCTCAACGTCTGTTTAGCACCACTCCATGAGCGACTCTGACTCACGCTGCTACCTAGGGCTTCACGAGGTGTTTGTCGCGCTGGAAACAAAGCATCTCTGTAAGTTTGTATCCCTGGTGATGGTTTGGCCTGGAGAGCAGTATATAAGTGGTGCTTTTCAGGCACAATCTTCCTCAGCCTACTCAAGCTCAACTGATGAGGGGTGAATTCCCCGAAACACTGTGTATTGAGCAGGGCGTGGTGCTTTCTTTCAGGTTTGCCGAGCGGAAGGTTCGACGTGCTCCTCGTGTGCTCCGGATGGCAGTCGTGAGTCAGTCAAGTGTCAAGTTCGGCAAGAAGCGTGTGCTCCTCGTTGGAGCAACCAACTTCATGACTATTACCGCCGAAGTCGCAACTTCTAAGTTCTGCTAATGCATTTCCAGAAAACTAACTGTATGAAGAAATCAAAGATTATGCTGGTAAACTGCTGGAAAAGTGCTCAATGTGCTGGGCAAGGAGCTTTTTTCACAATGATTATTCCCCATTTTTTAATGCCAATTGTCTCATGACTTCTTCGGCATGAAAAATATGTCACAGCAGATCCCGCGTGTATCCCTCTCTCTCTTTCATTGAAAACTGTTATTTGAAGAAATCAGTACGTGCCCTAACTCGAAGTGTCATGTTGCTGGTTTTGTGAATGAGGTTAGTCGGCGAGCACATTTGGTGATGACTTTGGAAGTCTTCTGGAATCAATAGGCTCAAAGCTGTCACTTGCCCTGGTTCATATTGTATCGACCACAGACAAACATGTGGCATACAATGTGTACTATCATTTCTCATAGTAAGCCATGTTCTTTGTTGGTTACTGGCTGAACATACACTTGTGTTATAGCATGGAAGGACACCACTTCACTATGCCAGTGAGCATGGTCGTATCGACTGTATGCGGCATCTACTAGACAGCAAAGCCGATCCAAACCAACGTGATGCGGTAAGTTGTATCTCATGAAGTATTAACAAACAAAACTGTGAAATTGCTACCCTGTGCTGCAATGATCTAACCATTGCAGAATTCTTTAGAGGAGCACTGGGATGTGAAGGGGAGCCATGAGATGAAGTAATTCATTTTTGCTGATCCTAACCCTTTACGATATTGTAAGTTAAAAACATATGCTTGACCGTTATTGTGATAGGTAGTGTATAATTATACACCTTCCTCAGGGTGTTCAGACTCTGCTGTAGCAACTTCATGTTTCACACAGTTATACACCACTACCCGAAGGAGGTCTCTCGGGTATAGTGTGTAGACTATGTAATCGTGACATGTAATATAGTGGACACACAAGTAGCCATGTTCTTTGTTCGTTAGTTGCTGAACATTCACTTGTGTTATAATGGGGAAAGGCACCATTTCACTATAACAGTGGCCATGGTTATATCGACTGTATGCAGCACCTCTCGACAGGAAAGCCAGTCCAAACCTTTCTGATAATTTAAGTTGATGAACATTCTATTCTACAATTATTTTGATAGTTAGTGTAGAGACTATGTCATGTACAGACAGTATTGTGGGCACACAAGTACATGTGACTCAGAACTGCTCTGTCTGATCTGCAAAATATACTGCATTAAACACACCGTTAGGCTCTGCATCTGCCGCTAGGGTTTACTGGGTGTTAGCGGCCGTCGTGAGTTCCCTTTGGGAACGGACACAATAATTTACTTTTTTACTTTTTTAATCACACCATCAGAGTGATACACCAGTTGTCCCCTGAGTTATGCAAGTCAGAAGAAGTTTTCTTTTGTTTATCACTGCTTGTACCTATTCCCGTACTACAGGATAAACGGACTCCACTTCACTATGCCACTATTGAGAACAAGACCGACTGCGTTCTGCATCTACTGCAAGCCGGAGCTAATCCAGATCAAGGAGATAAGGCAGGTTATGGAACAGCAATTTCAATATACTCTGCTTATGCATTTCTTGAAAACTAACTGTATGAAGAAATCAAAGATTATGCTGGTAAACTGCTGGAAAAGTGCTCAATGTGCTGGGCAAGGAGCTTTTTTCACAATGATTATTCCCCATTTTTTAATGCCAATTGTCTCATGACTTCTTCGGCATGAAAAATATGTCACAGCAGATCCCGCGTGTATCCCTCTCTCTCTTTCATTGAAAACTGTTATTTGAAGAAATCAGTACGTGCCCTAACTCGAAGTGTCATGTTGCTGGTTTTGTGAATGAGGTTAGTCGGCGAGCACATTTGGTGATGACTTTGGAAGTCTTCTGGAATCAATAGGCTCAAAGCTGTCACTTGCCCTGGTTCATATTGTATCGACCACAGACAAACATGTGGCATACAATGTGTACTATCATTTCTCATAGTAAGCCATGTTCTTTGTTGGTTACTGGCTGAACATACACTTGTGTTATAGCATGGAAGGACACCACTTCACTATGCCAGTGAGCATGGTCGTATCGACTGTATGCGGCATCTACTAGACAGCAAAGCCGATCCAAACCAACGTGATGCGGTAAGTTGTATCTCATGAAGTATTAACAAACAAAACTGTGAAATTGCTACCCTGTGCTGCAATGATCTAACCATTGCAGAATTCTTTAGAGGAGCACTGGGATGTGAAGGGGAGCCATGAGATGAAGTAATTCATTTTTGCTGATCCTAACCCTTTACGATATTGTAAGTTAAAAACATATGCTTGACCGTTATTGTGATAGGTAGTGTATAATTATACACCTTCCTCAGGGTGTTCAGACTCTGCTGTAGCAACTTCATGTTTCACACAATTATACACCACTACCCAAAAGAGGTCTCTCGGGAATAGTGTGTAGACTATGTAATTGTGACATGTAGTATAGTGGACACACAAGTAGCCATGTTCTTTGTTCGTTAGTTGCTGAACATTCACTTGTGTTATAATGGGGAAAGGCACCATTTCACTATAACAGTGGCCATGGTTATATCGACTGTATGCAGCACCTCTCGACAGGAAAGCCAGTCCAAACCTTTCTGATAATTTAAGTTGATGAACATTCTATTCTACAATTATTGTGATAGGTAGTGTAGAGACTATGTCATGTACAGACAGTATTGTGGGCACACAAGTACATGTGACTCAGAACTGCTCTGTCTGATCTGCAAAATATACTGCATTAAACACACCGTTAGGCTCTGCATCTGCCGCTAGGGTTTACTGGGTGTTAGCGGCCGTCGTGAGTTCCCTTTGGGAACGGACACAATAATTTACTTTTTTACTTTTTTAATCACACCATCAGAGTGATACACCAGTTGTCCCCTGAGTTATGCAAGTCAGAAGAAGTTTTCTTTTGTTTATCACTGCTTGTACCTATTCCCGTACTACAGGATAAACGGACTCCACTTCACTATGCCACTATTGAGAACAAGACCGACTGCGTTCTGCATCTACTGCAAGCCGGAGCTAATCCAGATCAAGGAGATAAGGCAGGTTATGGAACAGCAATTTCAATATACTCTGCTTATGCATTTCTTGAAAACTAACTGTATGAAGAAATCAAAGACTACTGTAAATCAACTAATTTTCGCTGGCGATTTAATTTCGCTGATTTCGCTGCTTGGTGCCAACTGGCCAAAGTAAATCGCAGGCCAAAGTTTGTCATAGAGTCAAATGATGCAAGATTGAACCCCAATCGGCCAAAGTTTGATCACGGCGAAAAGTTTCATTTGGAGATCGGCCAAAGTTTCTCACCGGCCAAAATTTGTTGATTTACAGTATGCTGGTAAACTGCTCGGGAAAGTGCTCAAAGTGCCGGGCGAGGAGCTTTTTTCACTATGATTATTCCACATTTTTTATGCCAATTGTCTGATGACTTCTTCAGCATGAAAATTAAATCACGACAGCTCTTGATTGGACCGTCTCCCTTTCATTGAAAACTGTTATGTGAAGAAATCAGTATGTGCCCTAACTCCAAGTGTCATGTTGCTGATTGTATGAATGAGGTTAGTCGGAGAGCACATTTGGTGATGACTTTGGAAGTCTTCTGGAATCAACAGACTCAAAACTGTCACTTGCCCTGCTTCATATTGTATCCTCCACAGACGAACATGTGGTATACAATATGTACTATCATTTCTCATAGTGAGCCGTGTTCTTTGTTGGTTACTTGCTTAACATATACTTATGCTATAGGAGGGAAAGACACCACTTCACTATGCCATTGAGCGGGGTCGTATCGACTGCATGCGGCATCTACTGGACAGCAAAGCCAATCCAAACCAACCTGACGAGGTAAGTTGCAGCTCATGAAGCATTAACAAAACAAAACTGTGAAATTGCTACCCTGTGCTGCAATGAACTTAACCATTGCAGAATTCTTTAGAGGAGCACTGGGATGTGAAGGGGAGCCATGAGATGAACTAATTCATTTTTGCTGATCCAAACCCTTTACGATAATGTAAGTTAAAAAAAATATGCTTGACCGTTATTGTGATAGGTAGTGTATAATTATACACCTTCCTCAGGGTGTTCAGCCTCCACTGTAGCAACTTCATGTTTCACACTGTTCTACACCACTACCCAAAAATAGGTCTCTCGGCTGTAGTGTGTAGACTATGTAATCGTGACATGTAATATAATGGACACACAAGTAGCCATGTTCTTTGTTCGTTAGTTGCTGAACATTTACTTGTGTTATAGTGGGGAAAGGCACCATTTCACTATACCAGTGGCCAGGGTCATATCGACTGTATGCAGCATCTCGCGACAGGAAAGCCAGTCCAAACCTTTCTGATAATTTGAGTTGATGAACATTCTGTTCTACTATTATTGTGGTAGGTAGTGTAGAGACTATGTCATGTACAGACAGTATTGTGGGCACACAAGTACATGTGACTGAGAACTTCTCTGTCTCATTTGCAAAATATACTGCAGTAATCACACCGTTAGGCTCTGCATCTGCCGCTAGGGTTTACTGGGTGTTAGCGGCCGTCGTGAGTTCCCTTTGGGAACGGACAGGATAATTTACTTTTTACTTTTTTAATCACACCATCAGAGTGATACACCAGTTGTCCCCTGAGGTATGCAAGTCAGAAGAAGTTATCTTTTGTTTATCGTCAGAAGAAGTTATCTTTTGTTTATCACTGCTTGTACCTATTCCCGTACTACAGGATAAACGGTCGCCACTTCACTATGCCACTATTGAGAACAAGACCGACTGCGTTCTGCATCTGCTGCAAGCCGGAGCTAATCCAGATCAAGGAGATAAGGCAGGTTATGGAACAGCAATTTCAATATACTCTGCTTATGCATTTCTTGAAAACTAACTGTATGAAGAAATCAAAGACTACTGTAAATCAACTAATTTTCGCTGGCGATTTAATTTCGCTGATTTCGCTGCTTGGTGCCAACTGGCCAAAGTAAATCGCAGGCCAAAGTTTGTCATAGAGTCAAATGATGCAAGTTGGAACCCCAATCGGCCAAAGTTTGATCACGGCCAAAAGTTTCATTTGGAGATCGGCCAAAGTTTCTCACCGGCCAAAATTTGTTGATTTACAGTATGCTGGTAAACTGCTCGGGAAAGTGCTCAAAGTGCCCGGCGAGGAGCTTTTTTCACTATGATTATTCCACGTTTTTTTATGCCAATTGTCTGATGACTTCTTCAGTATGAAAATTAAATCACGACAGCTCCTGATTGGACCGTCTCCCTTTCACTGAAAACTGTTATGTGAAGAAATCAGTATGTGCCCTAACTCTGAGTGTCATGTTGCTGGTTGTGTGAATGAGGTTAGTCGGAGAGCACATTTGGTGATGATTTTGGAAGTCTTCTGGAATCAACAGACTCAAAACTGTCACTTGCCCTGCTTCATATTGTATCCTCCACAGACGAACATGTGGTATACAATATGTACTATCATTTCTCATAGTGAGCCGTGTTCTTTGTTGGTTACTTGCTGAACATATACTTATGCTATAGGAGGGAAAGACACCACTTCACTATGCCATTGAGCGGGGTCGTATCGACTGCATGCGGCATCTACTGGACAGCAAAGCCAATCCAAACCAACCTGACGAGGTAAGTTGCAGCTCCTGAAGCATTAAGAAACAAAACTGTGAAATTGCTACCCTGTGCTGCAATGATCTAACCATTGCAGAATTCTTTAGAGGAGCACTGGGATGTGAAGGGGAGCCATGAGATGAAGTAATTCATTTTTGCTGATCCTAACCCTTTACGATATTGTAAGTTAAAAACATATGCTTGACCGTTATTGTGATAGGTAGTGTATAATTATACACCTTCCTCAGGGTGTTCAGACTCTGCTGTAGCAACTTCATGTTTCACACAGTTATACACCACTACCCAAAGGAGGTCTCTCGGGTATAGTGTGTAGACTATGTAATTGTGACATGTAGTATAGTGGATACACAAGTAGCCATGTTCTTTGTTCGTTAGTTGCTGAACATTCACTTGTGTTATAATGGGGAAAGGCACCATTTCACTATAACAGTGGCCATGGTTATATCGACTGTATGCAGCACCTCTCGACAGGAAAGCCAGTCCAAACCTTTCTGATAATTTAAGTTGATGAACATTCTGTTGTACGATTATTGTGATAGTTAGTGTAGAGACTATGTCATGTACAGACAGTATTGTGGGCACACAAGTACATGTGACTCAGAACTGCTCTGTCTGATATGCAAAATATACTGCATTAAACACACCGTTAGGCTCTGCATCTGCCGCTAGGGTTTACTGGGTGTTAGCGGCCGTCGTGAGTTCCCTTTGGGAACGGACACAATAATTTACTTTTTTACTTTTTTAATCACACCATCAGAGTGATACACCAGTTGTCCCCTGAGTTATGCAAGTCAGAAGAAGTTTTCTTTTGTTTATCACTGCTTGTACCTATTCCCGTACTACAGGATAAACGGACTCCACTTCACTATGCCACTATTGAGAACAAGACCGACTGCGTTCTGCATCTACTGCAAGCCGGAGCTAATCCAGATCAAGGAGATAAGGCAGGTTATGGAACAGCAATTTCAATATACTCTGCTAATGCATTTCTTGAAAACTAACTGTATGAAGAAATCAAAGACTACTGTAAATCAACTAATTTTCGCTGGCGATTTAATTTCGCTGATTTCGCTGCTTGGTGCCAACTGGCCAAAGTAAATCGCAGGCCAAAGTTTGTCATAGAGTCAAATGATGCAAGATTGAACCCCAATCGGCCAAAGTTTGATCACGGCCAAAAGTTTCATTTGGAGATCGGCCAAAGTTTCTCACCGGCCAAAATTTGTTGATTTACAGTATGCTGGTAAACTGCTCGGGAAAGTGTTCAAAGTGCCGGGCGAGGAGCTTTTTTCACTATGATTATTCCACATTTTTTATGCCAATTGTCTGATGACTTCTTCAGCATGAAAATTAAATCACGACAGCTCCTGATTGGACCGTCTCCCTTTCATTGAAAACTGTTATGTGAAGAAATCAGTATGTGTCCTAACTCCAAGTGTCATGTTGCTGATTGTGTGAATGAGGTTAGTCGGAGAGCACATTTGGTGATGACTTTGGAAGTCTTCTGGAATCAACAGGCTCAAAACTGTCACTTGCCCTGCTTCATATTGTATCCTCCACAGACGAACATGTGGTATACAATATGTACTATCATTTCTCATAGTGAGCCGTGTTCTTTGTTGGTTACTTGCTGAACATATACTTATGTTATAGGAGGGAAAGACACCACTTCACTATGCCATTGAGTGGGGTCGTATCGACTGCATGCGGCATCTACTGGACAGCAAAGCCAATCCAAACCAACCTGACGAGGTAAGTTGCAGCTCATGAAGCATTAACAAACAAAACTGTGAAATTGCTACCCTGTGCTGCAATGAACTTAACCATTGCAGAATTCTTTAGAGGAGCACTGGGATGTGAAGGGGAGCCATGAGATGAACTAATTCATTTTTGCTGATCCAAACCCTTTACGATAATGTAAGTTAAAAAAATATGCTTGACCGTTATTGTGATAGGTAGTGTATAATTATACACCTTCCTCAGGGTGTTCAGCCTCCACTGTAGCAACTTCATGTTTCACACTGTTATACACCACTACCCAAAAATAGGTCTCTCGGCTGTAGTGTGTAGACTATGTAATCGTGACATGTAATATAATGGACACACAAGTAGCCATGTTCTTTGTTCGTTAGTTGCTGAACATTCACTTGTGTTATAGTGGGGAAAGGCACCATTTCACTATAACAGTGGCCAGGGTAATATCGACTGTATGCAGCATCTCTCCACAGGAAAGCCAACCCAAACCTTTCCGATAATTTAAGTTGATGAACATTCTGTTCTACAATTATTGTGATAGGTAGTGTAGAGACTATGTCATGTACAGACAGTATTGTGGGCACACAAGTACATGTGACTGAGAACTGCTCTGTCTGATTTGCAAAATATACTGCAGTAATCACACCGTTAGGCTCTGCATCTGCCGCTAGGGTTTACTGGGTGTTAGCGGCCGTCGTGAGTTCCCTTTGGGAACGGACACGATAATTTACTTTTTTACTTTTTTAATCACACCATCAGAGTGATACACCAGTTGTCCCCTGAGGTATGCAAGTCAGAAGAAGTTATCTTTTGTTTATCACTGCTTGTACCTATTCCCGTACTACAGGATAAACGGTCGCCACTTCACTATGCCACTATTGTGAACAAGACCGACTGCGTTCTGCATCTACTGCAAGCCGGAGCTAATCCAGATCAAGGAGATAAGGCAGGTTATGGAACAGCAATTTCAATATACTCTGCTAATGCATTTCTTGAAAACTAACTGTATGAAGAAATCAAAGACTACTAGTATGCTGGTAAACTGCGAAAATGCTCAAAGTGCCCGGCGAGGAGCTTTTTTCACTACGATTATTCCACGTTTTTTATGCCAATTGTCTGATGACTTCTTCAGTATGAAAATTAAATCACGACAGCTTCTGATTGGACCGTCTCCCTTTCATTGAAAACTGTTATGTGAAGAAATCAGTATGTGTCCTAACTCCGAGTGTCATGTTGCTGGTTGTGTGAATGAGGTTAGTCGGAGAGCACATTTGGTGATGACTTTGGAAGTCTTCTGGAATCAACAGACCCAAAGCTGTCACTTGCCCTGCTTCATATTATATCCTCCACAGACGAACATGTGGTATACAATATGTACTATCATTTCTCATAGTCAGCCGTGTTCTTTGCTGGTTACTTGCTGAACATATACTTATGTTATAGGAGGGAAAGACACCACTTCACTATGCCATTGAGTGGGGTCGTATCGACTGCATGCGGCATCTACTGGACAGCAAAGCCAATCCAAACCAACCTGACGAGGTAAGTTGCAGCTCATGAAGCATTAACAAACAAAACTGTGAAATTGCTACCCTGTGCTGCAATGGTACACCTTCCTCAGAGTGTTCAGACTCCACTGATTGGACCGTCTCCCTTTCATTGAAAACTGTTATGTGAAGAAATCAGTATGTGTCCTAACTCCGAGTGTCATGTTGCTGGTTGTGTGAATGAGGTTAGCTGGAGAGCACATTTGGTGATGACTTTGGAAGTCTTCTGGAATCAACAGACTCAAAGCTGTCACTTGCCCTGCTTCATATTGTATCCTCCACAGACGAACATGTGGTATACAATATGTACTATCATTTCTCATAGTGAGCCGTGTTCTTTGTTGGTTACTTGCTGAACATATACTTATGTTATAGGAGGGAAAGACACCACTTCACTATGCCATTGAGCAGGGTCGTATCGACTGCATGCGGCATCTACTGGACAGCAAAGCCAATCCAAACCAACCTGACGAGGTAAGTTGCAGCTCATGAAGCATTAACAAACAAAACTGTGAAATTGCTACCCTGTGCTGCAATGGTACACCTTCCTCAGAGTGTTCACTCCACTGTAGCAACTTCATGTTTCACACAGTTATACACCACTACCCGAAAGAGGTCTCTCGGGAATAGTGTGTAGACTATGTAATCGTGACATATAGTATAGTGGACCCACAAGTAGACATGTTCTTTGTTTGTTAGTTGCTGAAAATCCATTTGTGTTATAATGGGGAAAGGCACCACTTCACTATATCAGTGGCCAGGGTCATATTGACTGGATGCAGCATCTCTCGACAGCAAAGCCAAAACAAACCTTTCCTATAATTTAAGTTGATGAACATTCTGTTCTACGATTATTGTGATAGGTAGTGTAGAGACTATGTCATGTACAGACAGTATTGTGGGCACACAAGTACATGTGACTAAGAACTTCTCTGTCTGATTTGTAAAATATACTGCAATAATTACACCATCAGAGTGATACACCAGTTTTCCCCTGAATTATGCAAGTCAGTGGAAGTTTTCATTTGCTAATCACTGCTTGTACCTATGGCTGTAATAACAGGATAAACGGACACCACTTCACTACGCCATCATTCAGAACAAGATCGACTGCGTTCTGCATCTACTGCAATATGGAGCTAACCCAGATCAAGGAGATAAGGCAGGTTATGGAACAGCTACTTCCATTTCAATATACTCTGCTAATGCATTTCCTGAAAACTAACTGTTTGAAGGAATCAAAGACTATGCTGGTAAACTGCTGGAAAAGTGCTAAATGTGCCGGGCGAGGAGCATTTTTCACTATGATTATTCCCCATTTTTTAATGCTAGTTGTCTGATGACTGCTTCGCCCTGAAACTTAAGTCAACAGATCCCGAGTATATCCCTCTCTCTTTCATCAAAAACTGTTACTTGAAGGAATCAGTATGTGCCCCTTACTCGGAGTGTCATGTTGCCAACTGGTGTCGTGAATGTGGTTGTTCGAAGAGTACATGTGGTGGTGACTTTGGAAGTCTTCTGCAATTGGTCATACGAGTATCAATGTATTTTCCATAGATGAACATGTGGCATGTCATGTGTACTATAATTTCTTATAGTGAGCCATGTTCTTTGTTGGCTTCTTGCTGAACATACACTTATGTTATAGTATGGAAAGACACCACTTCACTATACCAGTGAGCAGAATGGCACCGACTGTATGCGACATCTACTGGACAGCAACGCCAATCCAAACCAACATGACGAGGTACGTTGCATCGCATGAAGTATTAGCAAGCAAAACTCTGAAACTGCTACCCTGTGTTCCTCTGGTCTCAACCACACACTTCTCTACTAGAACACTGAGATATGAAAGCGAACTTTGAGATGAACCAATAAAAAACTAATTGGAACATGGTAATTGTGGGCACAAGTTATGCGATCGAGTCCTCCAACTAAACTAGATTTAGCACAGTCAGACGTGCACAGTCTAGCACAAAACTGACAAGGAGTACTGAGACATTCCACGGCTTGAAAGTCAGCTTGAGCACTGCTCGGTAGCACTAACCGACGGCCTTCCAACTTGGAAGGTTCATGGTTATTAGTGCAAATTCAATGTTACAATTTTTTTTCCTTGGGTCGCCAACTGAGTTCCTAATGAACCAATTAATTTCCGTAGCTATGCAAAAGACATTACTTCAGTAACGTCTGGCGCAGTCAGGGTCCACACAGCTTTAATTCCCGTAGCTATGCAGAAGACGTTACTTCAGTAACGTCTGGCGCTAGCCAGGGTCCACACAGCTTTAATTTGGTGTTTGTTTGTTTGTTTGTTTGTGTCACGCCTCGCGCTATCCCGTATCTGTCCCGTACTGTACCGTACCAGCAAAGACAGCTGGCCACAATACTTTTGTTTGTTTGTGCCATCGACATGCCTGGCGCTATCCCGTACCTGTCCCGTACCATCAAGAGTACGGTACCATCAAGAGAATGAATATATATGCAAAGTGTATGGGGGAATGCATTCAGTGCAGTAACATTTTGTGTGGATTTGTGTGCGAGGTCGAGATCCCACTAGCAGGCTGGCTGGGCCGCCTGTCGACCAGCCCGGGAATCGCATGTAGGCCGATAGCATCATAATTATAACGTATATACAGTCATGTAGATGTATAGCAGGGAGTCATATTATGTAAACGACTCCCTGCTGTATGGGGAGATTTTCTGGAAAGAAATACGAAGTAGGCCTTGGCGGATAATGCCGGCAGAAAAATTGGCAGAATTCGGTACTTTTTCTGGTAGGTTTCATGCATGTTTGGTATGTGGATAAAGAAATGGAGCAGAATTCGAGGAATTGCACGCCATAAGGTTTGTATGGTCCTGCCAATTTCACTGCTTTTCGAGCAGAATCTGCCACCTTTTCGAGCATTATCCGCCAAGGCCTAATACGAAGTAGGGAGACGAGTAAATGCAATCAGAATGGATGTTAGTTGCCGTCAGTATAATAATAATAAGAAGAAGAACGCCCGTGATCGGCAGAGTCAGCGCCGGTCCCAGGAAACGTCAGGACAGACATTCCGTCGACTCCAGAACGCCCGTGATCGGCAGAGTCAGCGCCGGTTCCATAGCTTTGCAGAAGACGTTACTTCAGTATCTCATTGAAACGTTTTTGCAATACAATGATGTAGCTAATCAAAGGAAAAGGCATTTCCATCAGTTCTACCAACATGCACGATGAGCTAGGCAACAAAGCATAGCGCAGGGCCCTGAGCTTCCAAGCTCTCTCGTTCCGTGTTTGCTTGTTTGTTTGTTTGTGCCATCGACATGCCTGGCGCTATACCGTACCTGTCCCGTTCTGTACCGTCAAAGACAGCTGGCCACAATAATCAAAGACAGCTGGCCACAATATTCAAATAGGGCTTTCAAATGCAAAATCATAACGTAAACCAACTTGGAAGAATGAGTATGCATGCGAAGTGTATCGGAGAATGCATGCAGGGCGATAGTGCGGGTTCGAATCCCAGGTTATGCCTTAAAAAATAAGAGAAATTAAAAAATTATAACATCCCTATGTTTTTTGCCTAGGTCAACAAGGTGGTAGACGGTGCCGTATTACCCTCGAATGCAAAGAGAAAGTTTATTTATTTCGCTCAGGGGGCCTACGCTATGCTTTTTTGCCTAGCTCATCATCCATGTTATTCGAACTGATGGAAAAAATTTGCAATACAATGTGGTAGCCGATCAGTTCGAGAGAGACAGAGACAGAGACAGACACAGAGAGAGCCAGAGAGAGACAGAGAGAGAGAGAGAGAGAGAGAGACAGAGAGAGAGACACACACACAGAGACAGAGAGAGAGATACAAAGTGAGAGACACACACAGAGAGAGACACAGAGAGACAAAGAGAGAGACACAGAGAGACACAGAGAGAGACACAGAGAGACACAGAGAGTCAGGCCCAACGGAGAGAGAGAGAGAGAGAGAGAGAGAGAGAGAGAGAGAGAGAGAGAGAGAGAGAGAGAGAGAGAGAGAGAGAGAGAGAGAGACAGACAGACAGACAGACAGACAGACAGAGAGACAGACAGAGAGAGAGAGTAAGTTACATTTATAAAGACAGGTAAGTCTAACAAATGAGGACTGAGACCTCTACAACAGGGTTTTTACGCCTGAAAGCAGGTGCATGATTTAACAAGCAGGTTGTCAGTCTAGATTTTATGCGCAGATGGAGAAAAAGCGCAGAATTTTTGTAATAAGATGAAAAGCAGAAATAATAAGAAATAATAAGAAAAGATGAAATGAAAGCCTGCTCACAACCCCGCCCAGCCTTGCGAACTGGGTATGGTGGATTAAGAACCCGGTTCAAAGCTCGAGCAAGCGCTCTCCACTCAAGGTGTTCACAGCAACTGATAGGAACTCATATGGGGAAATTATAGAAAAGAAATAATAAGATAAAGAGAATATATTTCAACGCACCTCAATAAACGGAGCCCCACATACAGTACCTGAGAAAAGTGGATCTTCCGACCAGGGTTTTTGTTGACGCCGCAACCAGATGATGTAGCTGCTTCGCAGATACGTCTTACTGCACAAATTACAAATAAATTTTATTCTTCGATTAGAAAATCCAAGCGCTTTCAGAGCCCTCCGAAGAGAGTCCGGGATGAAACCTCGCACACCTACCTCAACCGAAAAAGAAACGACCTGCCACCCGTTTGCTCGGCATTGATCGGCCAGATCCGCATACCGCCTGTCCTTCCGCGAGTTACTGACACTGAATCTGTCCTCAGCACAAACTGTCAACTCCATCCAGAATACAATCCTACGACTCGTAGAGTACAGAACTATATCTGGTCTTAGGGTGGTAAGTGCAACACAGCTAGGGAAAGAAATCTTTGCACTAACTGAGTCGACAAGAAGTTTCCAGTCTGAGGCCGCTGACAGGAGATCAGTCGTAACCAACTTTCGTCTGGGCTGAACGCAAACTGGCTTCTCTCCCGCCTTGCAAAACGAGATGAAGTCAAGCTCATTTGAATTTTCGGTTTGTAAGGTGTTTGCAGTAGTGCGGATTCAAATCTCCTCACGCATGTTCCTGACGATGACCCCGAGTACGTTGTCGTGCCTCCAGGTGTAACCGTCCCTGGTCCAGCGCTACGCGACAAGCGCCAAGCACGTGGCGCGTAGTACAGGCCCAGCTACGGCACAAACTACAGTACGGGTCCACTACGGTGTTTCCCCAACGGCGTAGGTTCGTCGGAGAAGGTAGCACGTCGAGGGTTGATGCGAGAAGAAATTTCAAATCCTTACCAGTACCACCGTACAAAAGGGATTTCCACGAGAGGTCCTGCCACATCACCGATGTCCACTCCAACCACTTGCCTTGCACCTGAAGAGTCTTCAGCCTCAAAATCTGCTCCTGCGCGTTGATCTCCTCAAATGTTTGAAGAAGATCCTTCCTCGGGGGTTTGGAATGCTGCTTCGGAGCACGAGCACCCAACCCTGAAC